CTGCCCGCCTTCTTGGTCTGCGTGGCCATGACGGTGGCACTCTCCGTGCCCGAGATCGGTGCGTGCGAGCCACCCACCCGCGCGCTGGGGGCTGCCGGGGGCCCTTTCTGCCGGCCCAGTGTGGCTGCTGGGGACGCTGGCTGGGGGGGATGAGGATTGCGGGCACGCGTCCAGTCGGCCTCTGCGATGCGGTGGGGGTGAGCGAGTTCCTGTCCTTGTCCCCGCAGGTGACCTGCCACCCCTCATCCTCTCGCCGTCACAGTACCACAACTACACCCAGCCCAAGGGCAACTTCATCCCTTACGCCAACGAGGAGCGGCGTGAGTACCGGTGAGAGCTGCCGCTCGCTGGTGACGAGTGCCCTGTCCCCGTCCCTGTCCCGGTGGGGGGCAGGCCCACAGCGGGGCGGGCACCGGGGCTGGCTTGGGCTTGGAGCAGAGCCTGGCCGCTGCGATGTCCACTGGCAGAAAGCAGCCTCCATTCTCCGCGGGGAGGAGAGGGGCCAGCCCTGCCGCTGGCTGCGATCGCCAGCTCCACTCACTCCGGGCATGGGCTGTGTGTGCCCGCTCGGCCATAACGGGTGCTGAGGCCTTGGGGAGGTCCTGGCAGAAGATGGCCCAGGTGGTGAGACCCACGTCCCCTGCTCCTTGCTCCTCCTGACCGGCTCTTCTCCCGCAGCATCAGGCTGTCTCCTGACGCCAGCCCCCAGCAGCTGGTGAACACCTTCCACCTGCCCTCCGGCGTGGGGGCCACCTGCGTGCTCAAGACGGCCTTCAACAACACGCTGGACCAGCCCGTGCAGACCCTCAACCTCAACAGCAACGAGTCCAAGATGCTGGCAGCCAAGTACTTCGACGCCATGTGCATCGACTCCTTCACCCAGGGCCTGCCGCTCTCCAACTTTGTGCCGCCGCCTCCATCGCCAGCTCCCTCTGACTACCCCGTCTCGGTGGATGAGGACCTCCTCCGTGCCTGGAACTCCACGATCTTCTCCTCCGCTGTCAAAGGTATCGCCTGCGCTTGGTGCCTGAGCCTGTCCGGGCTGGGGTTCAGCTCCAGCGGGGAGGTGAGACATCTGCCCCACAGGAGCAGCTCCAGGGACCCCTCGAGTGCCCGTCACTTTGGGCTGGCCGCAGCAGAGCATCGCTGGGCTGAGCTTCTGGCTCAGGGCTGGTGCTGGTCCTGGAGCACCACTCCAGGCAGTGCCAGTGGAGCTCCCCGGGATGGTGACACCATCGAGAGCCCCGTGGCCAGCCTCATGTCCCCCTCGCTGGGCCGGCTGCTCCGTCCCCA